AAAAAAAAAAAAAAAAAAAAATTAGCAGGCTGGACTGTGAGCTCATTTGGTTAGAACACAGTGTTGACAACAGCAAAGTCAATGGTTCCCCATATGGGCCAGCCACCAAAAAAAAAAAAAAAGAAAGAAAGAAAAGAAAAGAAATTTAGAAGGAAGAGGAGGAAAAGAAACACTTAAAAAACTTCCTGAGTTTAATTCTCTTTAAATGTGTCAGCCATGATAATTTTATGAGCAAACAAAACACTTTCGTATCCATCAACTAACATAATAATTTTAGACCTATAAAGGGCATTTTAAAAGCATTGTATATATTTTCATTTTAATCAAACTTTTGGTCCTACCCTAAAAAATAGCTTTTTGTTCCCTTCTATGGTTTCAAAATTTCCCTCAGTAATAATATAATCCAATATTCATTGAGTACTATGTGCCAAGTACAATAATAAAAGCTTAACAAGGATTATTTCATTTAATCCTTACTAAAGCCCTATATAGCAGGTTCTATCATTAGTTCTATTTTACAGATAATAAAACTGAGGTTTAGAGAGTCTCAGCAATTTGTCCAAAACTACACCAGAGGTGGTGCTATATCACCACACTATACTTCTGTAAAATACATCTCTAGCAGCAACAGTAAAAATAAAATAAAATGCTAGAATAAAAAACCTCTTTGCCCACCTTCACTTCATATCAGATTAGGAAAAGTGACTTAGAGAGATACATTTGACAAATATTTAATGAACACATACTATGTGCAAGGCACTGTGCTGACACTAGGGATACAGAGAGAAAGAAGACAATGTCCCTGCTTTTGTGGAATTAAGAGTACAGTAGGCTGAAGTTTGCTTTAAATAGTATTTCAAGGCTAGTTGAAGTATCACTAGGTATGCACAGTGGCTAACATTCCAGGCTCTGGAAAAAGACAGCCTGAGTCTGAATCCTGTATCTGCCACACCCAAGCTCTGTGACCTCGGACAAGTTGCTAAACTCTAAGTGTCTCAATTTCCCCATCTAAAAAACAGGGATAACAATGGTTGCTATTTTCCTAGGTTATTATGAGACTTGAACTAATTATACCGAATGTAAAATGTTTAGAGCAATAGTATCTGTAAAAAGTATCCAATACATGACAGCTATTATTAATACCCATAAAACATCAATCTTAGCATTATCACCTGAATATATTTTTAAATTTGATCATCCCTTCCAACAGAGTCTACCTACTTACAGCAGCTAAAAATCATCCTGACTTTCCTATTTGATATGTGCTAAGGCTTCACCTGCATTTATTATTAAACTAAAATGTACCCTTTATTCTCTAATAACCTTTTTAACTTATTGAGTCAGTGGTTCAGACCCTACCTAGGGGATTGGTAGGAAAGTGCAACAGTCTTCTTACCATTCTAAGTGCTTTGTCAACTATAAACGTTTATACAAACATGGACTATTGGTGTTATGTCTATTATAACCACCAGGTGCTCACCTCACATATACAGATACTTAGTGTATGGTGGCACATGTTGGGAAGATTGGGCTTAGGAGACACCAAGTGGCATGAATGGTACCTCAGAAATGTACAGATAAGAAAGGTCCATTTGCAGGTTTCACTCAGCTGTATTGTAAAAGGCAGCCAAAAGTCTGCTAAATAAAGAGGAAGGAGAGAAGGGGGCTGAGAATGGTGGTAGTAGTGGTGAAGAACACCGAACACAGATGTGAAACAGGCAATTCACCTGCACCTAAAATTCACCTGAAATGCACAAAACAGAGCATACCATCTACCACCACCTCACTCCTTCTCAGCCTCAAATCTGTTTTCTCTCCTGACCCTCCTATTTCTGTTTGGTGCTGCCATCACCACTCTTGCAGTCACCTCAGAATCATCTCTGAATCTTCTTCTCACTCCACAAGTCTAGCCAATCACCAAGTCCTATAATTCTTCCCCTGTGGTTCTGCTCTCGTGTTACCCTTATTCTCCATCTCCACTGCCACTGTGCTATTTCAGGCCCTTAGAACATCTGGATTGGACAATGGCAACAGCTTCTTAACCATTTCTTCTCTCTGCTATTTCTCCTTCTCTCCAATTCATTGGGTGCCTGTAGTGGATTGAATTATGTCCCCCCTAAGCTCACTGAAGCTTGAATTGTGTCCCCCAAGTTTTATGTATTAGAAACTTAGCCCCCACTGTGACTGTTAAGAGGGTGTGAAATCCTATTCTGATAATTGAAAGGTGGAGCCTTGAAGAGATGATTGGA